AGGAGGGGGGGGGGGAGGGGGATTGAAAAGTGACGGGAGGAAGGAAGAGCAGGGAGGGTATACATATCCACAAGTATATCTGTACATTCGATAACTTTCGTTCCACCAAAGGCCTTTTTTCTTTTGGTCAGTCCGGTCTCACCTCCCTTATCCCAGATTTGTATCGGAATTGGGATTAGAACTGGAATCGGAATTGGAATTTGTTTTTCTTTTTCGTTCAGGATAGAAAGCTAGCAGAAGATGAGTCTCGAATCTCCTCTGCGCAGTGAGCATTGCGTGCGCATTTGTAATTGAAAACTTTTGCGTTTTCTATTGTGAGGCAGGGCTGGTCTGGGTTGAAATCGGCCGAGCTTGCCTTCCTTCATCCAGGAATTGCGAGTGAGTGGACGGGAGACTCGGTTTGCCTCTGAGGAAATCGAAAATAAAGAGCTGTTGAATGTTTTTCCTTTCCCGAGATATTGACGACTCGAGGTTGGGATGAGACTTGACCACGCGACCGAGGAATTTTGAGGTGTAGCTGCATTGGCGGGCGGATATTGCACATGCTAGAGGGGGAGTAAGTTTCGTAGGAGCAACATTCACTTTCATTATGAGTACTCTACTTCATATCGTCACCATCTCAGGCTTCTCAGGAGCAGGAGTCGCCGCCTGTATTGCCATCCTCAATTCGTTCTGGCTCAGTCCCAGATCACTGCTGTAATCTCCAAACGCAATTACCAACTCGTTCAGGCCGGTCTTCAACGCAGCCAGAACAATATCCACCTCTGGGCTCTCTCGCTTCTTTTCAATGTCCGTCCAATGGAAGCCCAAATTCGCCTTGAAAGCCTCCAATCTCGTTACCGTAGATGTGAGAGTTCTGATGATAAGGCTAACGTCTCGCTGAACATTGCCGAATTTGTCCTCCTTCAGACTGCACACTGAAAATCGGGTTACAGCGTCGATGGCATCGACAATGATTCCAATGTCACCGAAGGGTTCGCCCAGTACCACAGCTGAGATCTTCCTTCTGTACTCCTGTCGGAAGGGTACGCCTACTTGAGTCTTCAAGATTCTGAGCGCCAACTCCTTGAACATTCCACTGAAACTTGCCCGACCGGGCCCCTCCTCTTTTGGTATCAAGACTTTCTCCGCGATTGCTAACGCCTTCTTGGCCTTTGCACTGGCAGAGCCAGGCGGTGATTGTCCTTGACTTCTCGCATAATCCTTGATTTTCCCAGCAGCCGACGAGCCCCTTGATCTGGTGAAAAGATCACCCGGCTCTTTCAGGCCATCTCTTGGTGGCTGAGAAAGTCGGGGTAGGCCTGGAGTAAGAGGCTCTGGGGTTATGCAAGGATCAGGTGGAGCGTCGCTTGAAGGTCGTTCGTAGTTAGCGATGCGTATCTCGATTCCATTGATAACTCCAAGGCAGGCATCGAGTATTTGCGACCATGTAGATCCACCTGCTCGGTCAATATCTTCATATATTGCCTTTCGGCGGCCCTCGAAACGATGTGCTATGTAAACAAGTTCCCAGAATGCAAATGCCTAGATAGATGTGAGCAAGGATTCGATAATCATATCAGTAAGTTGCTCACTCTAGTTTGCAACTTCTTGCCCTTCAAGCCAGTCAGCAAGCTGCCGTTGGGGTCACGAGACTCGTATGTGATAGGTCTATCGTGTTTGAGTGGTTCTTGCGCTACGTAAATGGAAAAGGCAGCATTACCGACTTCCCAGAGCATGACAAGGAGAAAGCCCGATGTGAAGGTGTTCTTCAACAAGCTTAGATGGAAAGGCCGAGTGGTTGGAAGCGAGCTCGATCTGGGCAGGTTGTAATAAGTCCGGACGATGGTTCGCCCAAACTGCCAACCAATTCTTCGAAAGGAAGGTAGGAAGCCGAGATCTAAGGAATAGACGATTGGAGACAGAAGTGTCAGAGCGAAAGAACGCTTAACAGCGGTGGCAGTGATTGACGGAAGCTTGGCCCTCAACCGAGCAGCCTCCGGGACAATGATCTTTTGCTGCTCTCCATTCATCTCCACGTGGTTGGTCTTCGTAGCAGGCATATCGATTCGGTCATAGTCGTACCAGAGGTGGAAACCAGCTTGAACAAATCCAAGAAACATGAGGGAAAAGGTGAGGTAAATCGGCTTCTCGTTCAAAGCCTGACGATCTGTTCTTTGTATTGTTTTGGCCCTGGATAGATCTTTGTCCATAGATGCCGACCAAATATAGATCTCGCTGAAGAGCCATGCCGAAAACACGTACCACCCCACGGTCTGCAGGACCTGAGACCGAGCCCTCGTGATATACCTCACAAAGGTATTGAATGCTGAATATGATGTACGTATCCCAACATGAAGCTGGCCGACTCGTAGAATGAAGATGGAGAAGGAAGGTACGAATAGAAGACCACTTCGGATGCCGGCTCTCCCAAACGGAAACCAGGTCCAGAAATCTGCGGCAGTCAGATAAGATACAATATGATGCGCGCTTCGAACTAAAACTAACATGAGTTTTTTTCTCCAATTAGGACGGCCTCGATATAGCAAAGCGCGAACAGCATGGTGGTGGCCAGCGCGAACCTTTTGTGCAAGGCTGGCGTCAGGAAATCCTTGTACGGACGAATTCGAATTGCGGGCGGCATGATGGATGATCGAAGGCCGTAGATGGGCTGGAAGGAATGTGATAATTGCGCGTTATTCCATTGAGATTCTCAGATCATGATCTGGTGGTGGTGGTGGTGGAGAAAGGGTTGTAGTCTGAATGTTGACTTCGGTTGCCTCACAACAAAATAAAACAGAACAGAAGCAGGCAGAGCAGAAGCCTCGCCGCCAAGCAAACCAAGGCGGCAACCAAATAGTGGGCCTGCATCATAAGTACTGTCTGTACCTCTCTCCCCACCCTCCACCCAACATAACTCAGGTACACAAACACCAACTCATAACATTCGCTGAATTCGCATCGACAGTCTTCAAAATGTCCTTCGATCAGTTATCGTCCTTAGAATCGCAGCCAACGACGACACGCAGGCAGGATGATCCGCAATACTCGGACGATCCCGAGTTCCAGCGCTTGTCGCATGACCTCATGACGAAGTTATTTACTTTGACGGGCAACATTTCGAGGCTTTCGAATGAGGTGGCATTGTTGGGCACACGGAGAGATACAGAGCGGGTTCGCGAAAGGGTGCATGACCTGCTGGAAGAAACCAAGGATACCTTCAAAGAAGTTGGCGAGGGCGTGAAGACGATACAGTCATGGGAGGATGTCAGCGTCAGTGGATAGCCAGCCAGGTTATGTATGCTGTAAGCTAACGCTCTTGAAGCCTTCGCAAAAATACACGCAGCAAAAGCTGGCCCGCGAGTTCCAAAACAACCTCCGAGAATTTCAAACCGTGCAGCGACAAGCACTTGAGAAACAACGATCTTCTGCTTCAGCAGCCAGGACTGCACTAGACGAGCAGCAATCACCAGCAGCGGATGGAAGCCAGCAATTTGGACAGCAGCAACAGCAATCTCAAGAAGTGCTGAGATTAGCGTCGCAGGATGAAGTCGACTTCCAAGATTCCTTGATTGTGGAGCGAGAGGCAGAGATCAGGAATATCGAGCAGGGCGTCACCGAGTTGAATGAGCTGTTCCGAGATGTTGCACACATCGTCAATGAGCAAGGGGAGCTTTTGGACAACATCCATGAGAATGTGGAGAACACAAGGTCAGATACGAGGGGGGCTGATCTGGAGTTGAGAAGCGCGGCGAGATACCAACGGAATGCTCGATCAAAAGCTTGCTGTCTATTGCTGATATTAGCTGTCATTTTGACGGTAGTCATTCTGGCTGCAACGATGGGATAGATGGAGGTGTTGAGGGTGTATAGTAATCATGCGTGGAGGAGTCTGGCGTTGCGTTTCCAAGCAAGCACACCAAGCTATGTTAATCAGGTACTGCATTTGAGCGTTTTCAGGCGGAAGAAGCTATGTACCGGTATGGTCCAAGAGAGACAGGAAGTGTCGATTATTTTATCGAATCCCACTTCATTGCACCAGAGTCGCGTTACTGAATCTCCACCTGGTGCACCACCTTGCGTGAGGATTCTCCGACAATACTGAATACGGATCGGATCCTAGTTTTTCATTGCCTTCCCGTTGCATCGCAGGTACTTGCAGACAGAGTTTGCTCCTAGTAGAGTCGGTAGTGAATGCAGGCTCAGAAGTCTTGCTTAAGGTAGCTTTGACATTCTTGATCCCCTCGGTGCTCCCTGAACCTGGATAATTTTATCTGAAAGCCGAGCAAGCCGAGCAAGCCGTTGCTGCGTTCCCTCAAACATGCTCGTGATGCCAATAGGTGGGTCATCCGTAATTGTCTGGACCCCGAAATTGCTCCAGCCGAGCTTGGTTGTTTCCGTAGGCACTTCTTTATAGACTCGGGCTTCTACTTTGGAATTCTCATTGTACCACTATAATCAAAGGGCAGAGTTTGCTTGCATTTGTTACCGAAATGGTCTCATCAGCTGCGTTAACAGCTTCGGCCGCGCTGAAGTCGCGCGTCAAGAGACCGTCGCTGCTCAGCAAGCTTGCCCACCCGGAGGATCTGATCAAACACTTCCCCAATGGTGCGTATATTGGATGGTCTGGGTTCACTGGCGTGGGATACCCAAAGTACGTTTCAATTGACTTGATTCCTTAAATTCCTCGAGAGCTGTTGCAGTCCCTGTTACCGTCGGCATCTTCGAACCCCTCCATATTCTGTTTACTGAATCTGGCAATAGGAAAATCCCTACGATGCTTGCGGACCACGTCGAGAAGAACGATCTACAGGGCAAGCTCAGGTACTCCCTCTTTGTAGGTGCTAGTTCTGGAGCCGAGACCGAAAACAGATGGGCAGCGTTGAACATGATTGAGAGGCGGGCTCCGCATCAGGTCGGAAAGGAGATTGCGAAGGGAATAAATAACGGCAAAATCAACTTCTTTGACAAACATCTGTCAATGTTTCCGGTAGATCTCGTATATGTAAGTTGGAATTCAGGCGGGAGCTAGAAAGAGTTGCGTTGCGGCTCGGCGATTCATGGGTAGTACAGGAGGCAGTTATAAGTGTCTACTATGGGTTCAGATATTCAGAAACTGAGTACATGTACTAAACGGAGGTTCTAGGGATTTTACACCAAAGACAAGCCAAACAATAAGCTGGATGTTGTCGTAGTTGAAGCCTCAGAAGTACTCGAGGATGGTGGCATTGTGCCTGGTGCTTCTGTCGGAGCGTCTCCCGAGCTCATCCAAATGGCAGACAAGGTCAGTTTGTAAGATTATTTGCGTTGGAACACTACTCATGAAGTCGCTAGATCATCATCGAAGTCAACACAGCAATCCCGCCCATGGAGGGTCTACACGATATTACCTTGACCCAATTGCCTCCTCACCGAAAGCCATACTTGATCATGGCCCCCGAGGATCGGATTGGATCAACATCTATTCCTATCGACCCCGACAAGGTTGTTGCGATCATCGAATCGGACTACCAAGACCAAACCGCACCAAACACTCCCGCCGATGCTACCTCTGCAGCAATTGCAAGGCATCTGATCGAGTTCCTTGAATACGAGGTTGCCCATGGCCGTCTCCCAAAGAACCTTCTCCCTCTCCAGTCAGGTATCGGTAACATCGCCAACGCCGTCATTGGTGGACTTGCTGAATCAAAGTTCGAGCATCTCAAGGTCTGGACCGAGGTCTTGCAAGACACGTTCTTGGACCTGTTCGATTCCAAAAAGCTAGACTTTGCAACAGCAACCTCCATACGCTTCTCTCCCGACGGATTCAAGCGTTTCTACAATAATTGGGACAACTACCATGACAAACTCCTTCTGCGATCTCAACAAGTCTCCAACTCCCCAGAAATCATTCGGCGACTGGGTGTGATCGGAATGAACACACCCGTCGAAGTTGACATTTACGCCCATGCTAACTCGACCTGTGTAATGGGATCGCGAATGTTGAACGGTCTCGGCGGATCTGCTGATTTCCTTCGCTCCGCTAAGTACAGCATCATGCACACACCTTCCACTCGGCCTTCCAAGGCGGATCCTCATGGCGTGAGCTGCATCGTGCCAATGTGCACTCACGTCGATCAGACCGAGCACGACCTTGACGTTGTTGTCACCGAGCAAGGATTAGCTGATGTCCGAGGATTGAGTCCTAGAGAGAGAGCAAAGGTCATTATCGAGAAGTGTGCGCATCCAGAATATAAGCCTATCCTGGAGGATTACTTCAAGAAGGCGGAGTTTGAGTGCATGAAGAGAGGATGGGGACATGAGCCACACTTGCTATGGAACAGCTTCGACATGCACAAGGCGTTGGACCTGGAGGGAAGCATGAAGAAGATCAAGACCTGGGGTTGAATAGAAATATGTTGACGCACTGTTGAAAAATGTATAGGTAGTGAAGCGGAACGTATATCAGGGGGTGATTTTTTTTGGCATAGCCAAAGAATAATAATCGCCCGAGATCGGGAAATAGGAAGATTACAGCAGAACCCATTCGTCTACTTGAGCAGTCGCTACTGAGATCCTTATCCTCGGTTTCTTAAGACATGTGCTTAGGGCCCCTTTGGTCCAGCGTAACTATCGTGGTTTTGCTAAAATCGTATAGCGAAAATCGGTTTTAAATATAGTGATTTTCGCAATAACAATATCGTGGGAACCCTGCGGAGTAGGTGGCTGTTTGGTCGAGAGCATTCTGAGTATTGTATTATACAAGATCAATAAAAACAGCCTTGTTATGTTCATGCAAACTTCCTCGTATTCAAACAAGTAATACTATCAAAAGTGTCTTAGAGCCAAGAGGAGAATGAGGGGAGTTTATCCTTGAATAAAACCATCTGTCTAACAGAGTCTACCTTGATCAGCACATAGTTAGCGAGGAAACCTGAAAATGGGTTTTGAAACTGGGTCCCGACCAGCTTTCATCGTACGTGTGATTTTGTTGAGGGTGGCTGATGTTGCCAATACCATGCTGGACTCTCATAAGTGCGCATCTCTCTAATCTTCAACGCTCGGCTACTATTTGGGTGGCCCGGATTGTCACCTCATTCGGTTGATTGTGGGACTTGACCTCGCAACTTTAGGGGCCAAGGTACACACCTCTTTGCTGTTACCCCTGATGTCGCCCTTGTGCCACGCACAAAATAAACAGGCGAAGCGAGGTCAAGGTAAGATAAAGCGGCTGATCTTTTTAAATTACCATACTATGAATAGTTTATAGTATACCCAAGATGATCTTCGAAGTAGTAACAAAAAGACAAATGGAAGAGTCAGTGCGCTGATTATTATTAGCTGCACGATTATTTATAGCCGACTTAGAGATTTCGAATTCGAGTTCAAAAAGAGATATATCTTTCTTGCCCCTGCTTCGGATTCAATTCGTCATCGTCTTGATCCATTATCTTCTTAATCCATCATTTTCTTAATCCAACTTCTTCTTCTTTTCCAAGCTTCCTCCCTTTCGTTTGCTCGCACTATTAAAAGACTTATACAAACACGATGCTACGATCGAAGTCTATTTTCGCGATCTTGCTAGCCTCGAGCCTTCTCTTTAGTAGAGCTCAAGGATTTTGGTGGCGCCAAAAAATAGTCATCGGCTATGCAGCACTTTCCGAAGTAAGTTTCACTCGATTAATGTAGCATAAGCTTATACTAATTACGCGAATTATAGGATGAGGCTACGCGGATCAATGAAGACAACAAGCTACATGTACCTGATGAGTCCTCACAGGATCAATTAGGAAGTGGCTTTTATATGGGTGAGTAGATTTAATAGATCGTTACTTATTACGCGGAGCTAATAATCTGAATAGTCAACGAACCTGGTAACTGGCCGAGTGAAGCAGGGCTTTGGTATTGTGCTATCAAAGCAAGACGAAGGAGGATAAAACGTGCTAGCAAAGTCTACGTCCCGAGGTCGTATGAAAAACTGACCTCGAATGGTGTTGAGCAACAACCCTTATGGTTCCAAGACGAAAAAATCATCGGGGAGTACATCCAGTCACATGCATTGATGTCAGATCCCGAGAAAGCACTGCGTTTCTCACGAATTATGAATCTCAAGAAGCGGCAGCTGCAAATGGTTATTCCAACGAAAGCGGTAGAGGATAATAAGTTGGATTTATGGGCCAAATGCTTTGAATCAGAAGAAAAGCTGAAGAGGTTTTCGAAGGGTGTAATTGATTGGGAAGGTTGGACGATTAGAGGAGAGAGAGATAGGTCACAAACGGGCTTGCCTAATGGGGTGGTAAGGTAAGCACCATCAGAAGGGAGTGACTCGTCACTTATATATTAATAAATAATCATGTACTACCGTACCGGTACTATCTGCTGCTTCAGGAACACAATGTATCCTTCCTTACCCCGTTTACGACACAGACACTAGTACCGGTCATAGGTATGTGCCCTTGAACCCTCACCCTCACCCTCGCCCTCACCCTGAGATGCGAGGGTCGGTGATTTGGCCCCGAGGATACCGTGGATACGTCCGTAAGGTAGAGAGAGGAGCGAGAGGAGCGAGAGGAGAGAGAAGAGAGAGAGGAGAGAGAGAGGAGAGAGAGGTACCGGTACCTTGCATTCCTTGAGTCGGTGCGCCAAGATCTACGGAGAAGCGAGAAGCGACAATCCATCGCTCTCAGGTATTCTTAAGGTTTGGCGACCAGACCTCCGACCTCCCCAACCTCCAACCTCCAACCTCCAACCTCCAACCTCCAACCTCCAACCTCCAACCTCCAACCTCCATCCTCCAACCTCCATGTGCGACATGGGCATACCGGCGATGCGCCCGATCTCTGTCCATAGCTGCACTGAACCTCACCTCCCACTCGATCTGTTTCTCCACAGACGGCGCGCAAGCGCAACATCGGCTCACGTTGCTTTCCACGGCCTCAAGGTTGAAACAGTGTCTGCCCGGCCGAGCGGGCAAGCACAAACAAATAAAACCAATACCACGGCCTGGTGGAAGCAGCAGAGATGGACAGACCCTCTGGACCATTGGGCGCAGCGACGCAGCCAAGTGGGAGATCGATGGCCGAGAATGGCATGCAGAGGCCAGCGGCTTTCGCTGGTGTGAGCACCACGGTCCGAAAAATCCCGCCCAACTTACGACCTTCAGCTTCGAACTCCTCGCTGTCGACTCAAACCCCTATCTCTGCGAAGCAAGTCGTCGCACTGGCACAAGAGGCAATGAAGAATGCTGTTGAGGAGAACCGAACCAAGGCTGCGGAGGCCAGTGAGGTTAGCAACGAGTTGAAGCCAGGAGTTACGATCGATCTGAGCCACAAGCAAATCCAGAATTTCCCTGAGGAGGTCGTGGATATTATCAAGACTGAGCTGGAGAGGTATGTTCTCTATCTTGTCCTGCTCCCTTGCATAACACTAGCTGACGCGTGTCTTAGGCTTGCCTTGTCACATAATATGATATCCACGCTCCCCTCAGGATTCTCGGAATGTACCTCTCTACGATACTTGAATGTTCGCAACAACTTTATACGAGAGTTTCCTCAATCTGTATGTTGGTAAAGCTGTGGAAGTCTTGTTTGCACTAACAAGCTTGCAGATATGCCAGTTGACTTCTCTCGAAATTCTGGATCTCGGCAGAAACAAGCTCAAGATTCTCCCACTCGAACTGTCCAAACTGACTTCACTTAAAGTGTTGTCTGTCCAAAAGAACAGAATCGAAGTCCTGCCCTTTTGCCTCGCAGATATGGCGTCTCTACAAGTTCTCAAACTCGACGGCAACCCTGTTAGATTCCCACCCAAGGAGATCTTGCAGCCCCAAGCTACAACGCCGCCAAATGGAGGATTTCAGGAGAATGAAATGGACGATATTGCTGTTACACTACAAATCAAGAGATTTTTGAAGCAGAAGGTTATATCAGACCGTTCAGAGACAGAGTCCGGTGGAGAAGAGTCTAGTGAGGGAACCGAGACTCCTCGGCCCATGAAGCGTGTCATGAGTGGCAGGTTCCCCATAAAAGTTAACGGTTCCGATGTACCGGATCTGCGATCGCCAGCTCTACCAAGGCCGCCTCCAATTCCCTCTCGCTCACATTACCGGGGGCTGTCACAGCAAAATGCCGCTTTACGGCGACCAGGTTTCCTGCCCCTGACGATTGGTAGCGCTAACGAACGACTTCGCAGCAATAGCGAAAGCTTGCTGCAAGCGAACAGGGACCGCTCTTCGGACCGCTCGAGGAGGATGGGGATCGTGTCAAAGAAATCCGCTGAGTTGGATACTGTGGACGAGACAAAGACTAATCGCTACAGCCACTACAGAGGTCTCAGCCATGGCTCTGCTATGCAAGGTCCTAATGGGGTGAATGGAAAGGTCAATTCTATAGGTCCTTCTAGTCCAGCAGATCCGTCTATTCAAAGACCAACTTACATTCGGCGTCTCTCGAGTCTTCCAGAGCGTAAACGAGAGTCAGTCTCGCCTAATCCTGTTGTCGAGGCCGCTATCAGCATTCTCTATGCGCTATTTCAGGTACATCCGCTCATTCAAAGCCTTCTTGGTGTCACTCGTGATGGTTCGAACAAGCGAACAAGCCTCGAAAGAGTGTTCTACAATGCTACGACCCACGTGGACGAGCTCGATCGACATATTCAAGATTACATGGACTATTCCGAGGACCAGGAAGCCCCGCGCTCTTCCGAAAATGTGCACAGGGCGTGCGTTGCTTGTGTTGGTGCATATGTGCATGTCTGTGGCCTACTCCAGAGAAATGTAGGAACACTCCTCGAGCATGGCGATCCTCGATACATTCGTACACTCCTCCTGCTTGTCTTTGGAAGCACTGCAGAAATTCGCAATGCTGGGGTTGCGTACATGCAGGCCAATCGTCAATCACTGTCTCAAGTTCTGAAAGTGCAGGAGGAATCGCGGTTGAAAAGGTTTCCGCCGAGAGATAAATCTATCACGCCGACACGTGAACGGCCTGGCACGAGTTCAAGAGCGCGTAGTGCGACAGTTGTTCAAAATTCGAACCTCCGGGTCGCCACGGGTGGCCCTACACTACCATTCATGAACGGTACTGGGCGAGCTGCCACAATGACAAATCGGACCCCTCGTTCCGGGGAATCCTTCGCCTCATCGACAGCATCTGGTAGTCGACTGGGCGGCGATTTCACTGAAGAGGACCGTATTTTTGAAAAGATTTTCCTGCGCCTACAGGAATCGTCGGAGATGACCATCAGGGCTTTACCCCATGTCAACGGCCACTTCTACAACGCAATGGAAACCGGGAGTAAACAAAGCAAACCAGACCAGCCCCGAAAATTCTGGCAACATTTGATCAATCGAACAGCTACGGCGTTACAGACTGCTGAAAACCTTAAGTCCCGGCTCTCTCTCATTCGATTGAAGGATCCCGGGATCAGAACTCAAGGCAATTTCTGGGAGCTTTGTAATGCGTTCATCATGGTAGGCTCTTGTATATAAACATATATACATGCACACACTGTCCGATCTTTGGCTAAACTAACACTCGGCAGACTTACACGGATCTTGTCATGAACGTAAAGGAAGCCAAAAGCATTTCCGCCTCGCTACCGACCGATGTTATCATACTTCTTCGACCACTTCAAAAAGCGATCAAGGAAACCAGTCAACTGATACAAACATCGCCCTGGTCTTTCTTGGCGACACCACAGACGAACGGCATGTCTAACGGCTCATATATTTTACCGTCAACGGCGTCACAAGTCCAGCTTCCCATGACGCCCCAAAGTGCTGCACTCGGGCCTGCCGTGCAAGCAACTGTACCCTCCACTCCTCAGAGCGCTTCCTACAACGGCATGTTCAGCGGTAACGTCTTCGAACGAGCTGATCACTTGCTATCTATGAATGGAAGTTCAGTCAGCTCATCACGCAACGGAACCATGACCTCGAGCCTTAGCTCTAGCGACACGATGACATCCGCTTCCAGTATCACCCCCCTGCAATCTTTCGGAAGTCGCTTCAACAATAGTGCCAATAAAATGACCTCCTAACGAACTCCTGTAACAAAAATCTCACGCGTGTTGTGAAATTTCCTTCCATGGCTACAGCAGCCACCCACGTTTGCGTATATTCCTTTATGCGTACCCTAAAACTTCACGGATGTACAACACTGTCATTAGCGTATTTTTCAAAGCGATAGATGGAAATGGGAAGGGGAGGAAGTGGTGGTCTGGCATTTGAGCGGTCATAAGGTGCATTGCATGTGGCGTTACATGATTTGAGGGAAAGGTATGGCATGGTATAGATGGAAGGTAAGCCAGGGAAGAGAAGGATGGTATGGCTTTTGCTATAGAATTTGTATAGCTGGCTGACCGCTCACGGGCGACAGGAGCGCCACTGGGCTGCCACTCATGCTTTATGATGAGGTAATCTTGCGATAGGTGATCGAGAAATATGAGGTCGTTCTAGAAGCGTATTTTAAACCAAGGGAGGCGTTCTGACAGCTACGTGTCGCACTGAGTACGCAAGGATTTCTGGGACAATGAAGCAAGAAAGGGGCCCTTGCTTCGTAGGGGGGATGGGGGGGCGCTCGCTGAGTGTCGATGTTGCGCTCTGGCCCACGGCCGGCCGGTGGGATACGAATGAGGCGTTGATAGGGGGAGGAGGAGGGGGCGCTGATGGTTCACAGGTGGTACTATTAGTACTAGAGAGGGTGCTCCTCGTGCTGTGTGTTTATTTACTTGTATTGATACATATACAGAGCTTACAATTAACTTAAATGCTCGAGCGCAATACTGAGGTGATGCATTAGCTGAAATAGATAGATGGGTTTGGTTTGATGGGGTTCTAAGGGGGTTTTTTTTTTTTTTTTTTTTTGGTTCTGAGATGATCTATTACCGATGGTGTTGGTGGTGAGGAGGAGGATGATGATGATGATACGGAAGCAAAGTAAGGGGTTCTATTCGGTATTGATGAGAGAGAGACGGACGGTAGCAAGCGCCAAGTGAGTGATGGATGAGGTCCGGATGAGTTGGTAGTTGTTGGTGGTGGATGGGTGATGGCTCGGTTCACGTTTGTTCGGGTGGGCTGGGGGCGGGAGGGCACTGCGTGAGCAGTGAGCAGTGAGCAGCGCAGATGTAATGGGAAGTCGTCCCTTTGCATGGCTGTATGTATTAAAAAGCAGTAAATGGGAGAGAAGGTGGCGGTGCCGTTCTGTTTATCAGGTTTGTGACGGGTATCTAGATGCTCGGGGAGGGGTGGTATGTGGTACTTGTTGGAGCTTTTCTCGCCGTAGCACAGTGGAGGAAAGATGTAATTTTTTTTGTTGATACTGGGAGCCGAGGGGCGGGTATTTCTGAATGCGGACGCCCTCAGCCAGCAAGGAGCAAGTTTGAAGAGACATAGACATAGTGGCGAGTGATTGCTCGCAAGCTATGCATCAGACAATACCTTTGAGAAGATCCCGATGCCCCGATGTTCCGATGCCCCGAGACTTCGAGCGACGTATCAGGCAAGGCGAGCATCCGTTCGACAAACGCAAACAACATCCACAAGCATCGGGTGAGGGTGCGAGGAGCCGGAGGCAAGGAAGAGTTTGGTCCTGATTTTACACAAGGCGACGCTTAAGGGAAGATGCTCCACGACCTCCGCGACGGATCCAAGTTGTTCTCGGATGCATGACGAGGGGGGAGAAAGGTTCGAGACTACCGGTAATGAGTGAGGTATCGAAGGCAGATACAAAGCCGCTCCGGAGATGGAGGTCAGCAAGCGATCGAGCGGGTGTGCCCCCTTGTGCATTTCGCCACTCCTGGATTCCACCTGGAGTTTGCGAATGACAAGTAATATGTCGTGATAGTTGTAATAATATCAGTCTCAAGCAGAAGAATGAGAAAATTATGCAAGGAAGGTCGGGCTAGGTACCGGTATGTGTGCAATTTTGTTGCGATGATGCGCTCGCTGATCTCGCTCGCCCCGGCGGCGCGAGGAATCGATCTCTTACCGGTAGGATGGATATCCTTTACCCACGGCCGTGCAGACGAAACGCCTTGAGAGATTAGAGTGCTTTGATAAATATAATAAAGAGCCTTGGGATTCGCTTGGAGGTTGGCATGGCCCGATTCACCGGGACTCTCTCGATCGTCCTGCTCCGTACTCCGTACTTCTATTTCGAAGGAGTGGAGGAGTCCGGAAGTTTGGGACTGAACCTTGCCATCGGAAGGGTATTTCGGGAGAAGGATCTTTTGCAATGGTCAGCTGACTGACTGAAAACATCCGGGCTCTTTGTACCGGTACTCTATCTACAGTACGAAGTACGATACCGGTACCGGTACTCTGTACCGTACTTCTACTGCTCTCCCTTGCGGAATGACAATGACTCGCGTCCAAATGCACATATGTACGGTACATAGATATGTACATACCGGTATGTACATATGTGACCACGTTTTGGTGTCACGTAGGGGTCCCGAGAATTGCATTCCCTCGCTACTCTCGCAATGTCGTCCGCCTCACTACGGTATTATCGAGAAGAGAGTGACATGTTTTGAGACCACTTATGTTACATAGCGCTTACGGTGGCAATCAACGGTTTGTTAGCAATACCATCCAGTCAGGAGTCAGGCGTTCTGACCATTGAATGACTCATGGCGTGAAGAGCTTGATCGCACAATCCGGGCATTCAATTGTTATTACCTACTTGTTGTGCCAGCCGTAACCGTTTCGAGGGACGAGAATATCCGAGACCACGGTAAGCGAGGGGTTGTTTGATGAGCTGCAGACGGGCGTGAGACGGGGAGTGCCGACCCATTATCGATATGCTCAGCTCTCGAATCACGTCGCCATCAAGGCGTGTTTAATGTACGAGATTACCTACCTGCCAGAAGTCTTGAAAGGCGTACCAGTGCTCTTGAGACGCGGTAGGGTGATGAATGGCAAGAAACGTGACATTTCTTGAATCACTCCCACAGCGCAGGGAGTCTGACCGCCCAAAGACCAAAGCCCAAAGCCCAAAGCTAGACCGCTGAATTCGTCTTGCGGCTGCGGGTGTAATGATGATGATGATAGTAACCGTGGTGCCAGAAGCTGTTGTGGTCGAGTACCGTAGAGCTGCATCTTGTGGGTACGTGCAGATTCAATGTGTGGGTGCTTCATGTGGGCAAGAGAAAGCAGACTCTCGTCCCAGTTGAGGTTGTGTTGGTCAGCGTGGTCGCTCTGGTTGAACCAGATCCTACCTAGCATCAAGACGCTGCCGCAAGAATAGCTAATGAGCTATCCTGGGAATTGGGTAGGGCGGTTGAACGGAGGGCATGATAAAGTACATATACAGAGTAGACAGACTGAGTCTCCGTCTTTGACCTCCGAGCTTTTCTTGCCGTAAAGTTGAGTCGCGAGACTCTGTTTGGGATTTGACAATGCCACCGCTGGAGCCTCTGCGTCCAAGGCTACAAGCAAACAACAACTCGGAGAATTTCTGCAACGCCAGGGGTGCTGCAGCAGTGCAACAATATTTCGGTAGCGATGAGGCTGGATTACTTGGGAATGAGGAAATTTGAGACTGGGACTGGGACTGAGACTGACATTGGGATTGGGACCTTTGGCCACTCGATGCATGCATGCTGCATGCAGCCTTCGCTATCCTATCCAAGCATCAGGGATATCCGTATAGTACGTATACCGCTCCGTACAGATATACTCGACTACCTATCTCTGCTCCGTCAAGTAGGTACTACGACTGCGCTCCGTATATTCTCTCGAGTATCTACCCACGCTACTCGCCGTTGAACGCTGACCGACTCAGACTCAGTCAACGTGCGCTGAGCGAACGTGCTACTCCCGATGTTCCCGACACGGCCGGGGAGACGAGATGAGGTGAGGTGAGGTGAGCTTATGCGTGAAATTATAGATGTGTGATGTGCGTTGCGTGGGCTTTGCTTGACTTGCCGTGAGATGAAGCAGGCGTGGTGTGGAGAGGGCCAAGAGGCATAGATACTACCAAGATACAGTAGATAGATACCTAGATAGGACGAGTTGCGAGTTGCCGCAGTGAGATGGGATGAGATGAGGCGATGCGAATAGAACAGAATACGTAGAATATGATAGAATGCCGTCCTTTAGTCTCAGGGGAAGGCAGGCAATCGACAAATAGAAATATATACTGACATGATATGAGATCGAGAGAGAGGTGATGAGTGAGGGAAACAATACCTTATGTCTCTCTCTAGTTCCGGCTTTGGCTATGGCTTTGGCTTTGGTTTTGGCTTTGGTTTTGGCTATGGGTATGGCTACCTACCGGGCTATGGCTATCGCCATCGATCAAGTACTACCGATCGATGATCGTGCTGTAGAAGAACAAGAATAATAAGGATGATAAAACAATTAATAATTTTACTGTTGTCGTTATTATTATTATGATTATTATTAACATCCAACTTTCAAACGCAAGCCTTATATACTCTATTTGGCCTCCGGAACAGCGGACTTTGACTTGGCTTCCCCTTAAAACACGCTCTCAGGCCAGATCCTGCTCGCCCCCGGGGAGAGTTCTGCTCTAACTTTAGAAGTACCGACACCGAACACCGACCCTGCGTCTCTGTACAATAGTAGCATTTTTGGCCATTTGGCAACATTTCATAATCGCTCTTGTTCTCACTCGAGTAATCACTTCCTGACTCACTTATGACTCGAGTATCTACATAACACTTACTTCTTTCTACTTACGCATCTATCTCTTCTCTTTACACACATTTTCCCTCCCATCTCGAGCCAGCCAGCCAGCCAGCCAGCCAGACCCCGTCCATCCACGTTGCTTGCATAGATCCCAATCTCGCGGTGTAGAGGGATCATACTGGATTGGACCGGACCGGACTGGACTCTGATCATCTCTCGAGTCGGCATATAACGATTCAAGATTGAAGATCCACGATCACGATCACGGTCACGATCACGGTCACGATCAAGGTCCAGGTCAAGGTCCAGGTCAAGGTCACGCCTTCACCCTTGTTCCTTCCATTCCTGTCTCACAGGCACATATCTGACTTAACTTTCTTCTTCATTCTGCTTCCGATCCTTTCCTCCTTTCTTCCTTTCTCCAAGTCCGATTTCCAACCACCAACCACCAACCACCACCACCCACCACCCACCACTCGCCACCTGGCTCGGTCCGCCCTTTGTCACTCACTCGCTCCCCATTCATTGCAGTCTGCATCCAACGAACTTCGTGGGCGACGACCTTCGTCCCTTCCTGTCCTTTCTGTACTTAATTCCCCCCCTCGTGGCAATCAAAACTGGTTGTAGAACATAGACCGGAAACCAAGCCAGGCCTTGAAGAAAAGAAGAAGAACAACAACAACAGAAAGAGGAACCTATCGCGAGGCACAAAGGTACGTCGCCTGCCCACATCGCAGAAACACAAACATCTTGATTTCCTTTCATTGGCACGTATCCGTGCTGCCTCGAGACATCCCCTCGTAGGTCGAAGGATGCCGTCGTACAAGATGCGACTAGCCGTTTCCTGAACCCCACGAGGACATCGAGCCTCGCACAATCCCGAAGCCTCTTGTTTGCCTGGAACTCGCATATACTGATAACAATGGCTTCCAGACAACCTCATTCCTCATCCCCCCCTCTCCCCCCCCTTCCCGGCCGGTTATTGTCTTCGTGCAATACATTTCCTGGATACTGTGTGTCCCAAGACTCATCGACGGCCCCCTCTCCCCATCGACACCCGACGAAATCTGGCGCAAGAAAAGTTCCGCGGCTGGGCTGGAAGGATACCAATAATTATGGAGTCGGACAAGACCGAAAGGAACCGGGCGAACAGCATTGCAGCGGCGAACGATCACTCGACCGCTCCCACGAACAACGATGGCCAGATGGCGACTCAGCCGAAGGAGTCAAGGTCTCAAGGCGCGGTAGATCTCGGGGTCGAAGAGGCATATGGTATTGCGGAACAGGGAACTAAATCGGTCGGCAGCCCTTCCCCCAGGAATCATCAACCCAACTACGAGCCGAGCCAGACAGCCCCCTCGGTGGGAAGCCAGATCAATTACGAGCCAGCGGCAAGGAGTTCGAGAATGAGCCACCCAAATTATGCTCCGGGTCAAGCAGCAACCAATCGTGCAAGATCGACCTTCACACCAAACCCATCGAAGACCGCGGACAGGGACACGAGAACGAGCGTCAAGCCTATCTCCATAGAGCCGCCTGTGACCAAAGTGACACTGAGCGAGTTGGATGTGACGAAGATAGTGAATAACCCAAAGCTCCGCCATGATATAAATTTTGACCCCGAGCTTCACTTCAGACCGAACCTCGATGGGGAGAAAGGGAGAAGGAAGACAGAGAAGGCGAATAACTTCTGGGAGACGATGCGGGGGCAACTTCGAGAATTTCTCACGAACCGCGAAACTTTTGAGAAGGAGCTCGGCGACTCGGAATGGTGCTTGCCTGCGACGCTGAATGCCATCCGGGGCATCTTGGAGACTCTGGTTCCGCAGAGAGACAAGGCCTCGGTGGAGGAGACATTCAATGTCGAGCTGCTCATGCAGCAGTTTCGAAAAGGAGTGGCCGACCTGGTCAAATTAGCGACATGGCTTTCTCAGCTCCTCAAGTGCCACTGTGCGCCGATGAGAGACAACTGGGTTGACGATATGGTCAGCCAGCTAAGCAACGGTGACAAGACGGGCGATGTTGCCATGTTGGTAGCCGGGATGAAGAATCTGATGGGTGTTCTGGAGGCAATGAAACTCGTAAGTGTCCATCCCCATCTTGCCGTCGACATCCTAACAGTCCCCTAGGACGTGGCAAACCACCAGATCAGATGCCTTCGGCCGCTGTTGATCGACGACACGGTCCATTTCGAGCAGAAATTCTTCATGAAGAAGATTGCAATGGGACGCGTCGACGTCGCCGGAGCCCACGCCTGGTTCAAGCGGGCAAGTAGTTCTTCTGGCATGCAATCTCAGACCATGGACTTTGTCAACGCATTGGTACAACTCACTCTGCCCTCGAAGTCCGAGATGTTCCCACATACCTTTCTCTTCGACGAGGAACGACTGGTCAAGCTCCGTTCAGATATGCTTGACATGATCAACCTCGAGATTTGTATGCAGCTTTACCGCAATCTGGAGTCACAGAGCCGGTCGTATCCTACTCTAGATGACACTCCATCAACATCTGCAGTGGTATCCCCATTCCATCGCCCCGCGTCACCTGCAGACGATACCGTGTTCTCCTCTCCGACAATCCCGTCCCTTCACCACTTTGATTCCGCGCGGTCCGGCCACCAAGAACGGGGACATTTCATCCGCCACCCATCCGGAAGACAGGTTTGGAAGCCTAGAGTCGGCGACGCCTACGCTGAATCGGCTACATCGAGTCCGCGTTCGTCTCCTTCATCAACTGCGTCCACTCCTGATACCCTTCCACCAACGCCTCTCTACCTATCCCCTGATTTTTCGGAATCCGCTTCTCAACTCCGAACTTCCCTCATTGCCATTCTCTCTTCGTCGACTTCATCTACCAAGTGGGTCTCTGTTTCGAATGATCTCGCTCTCCAGATTTTACGATCCACGACAACATCTCTCACTCGTCTTCCTCAATTTGAAGCTCACCTGGCTTTCCACATCTCTAACCCACGTTCCAAGCTGTACCTAGATGCCGAAGAGCGTGTCTTGGCCGAACTTGGGAATCAGCTGAAAAAGCTTGTGCATGCTTACACGCCTCTATCGAATCTACAAATATTCGAAGCCGCGACTGCTCCAAAGACTGCTTCAGGAAGCTCATCCGGACAGAGGAATGGATTTAAGGACGAGATTTCCGAGATCGCCACGAGAATTGCGCATATTGGGCTTTTGCACTGGCGAGTCTGGGCTCCTCTGGCCTATCTCGTCGATCCAAATGCCGTGGAGGACGTTCGAATCTACTCCGCGCGGGCTAGGAGCATGCCCTGAAACGTCACCCATATTGATTTTCGTGCTGTCAATCAACAACATACATGCTTGAGAACAATCTGGGGTGGCCAAGGTCGAGCCAAGAATGACATGAGAGAAGACACATGCAAATATAAGTTTGCCACCAATATGCTTCATGGTATGGCCTTATGAAAGCCGACCTGCATAGAACGCATGCAATATCATCCTTTATTATGGTCGGAAGGAGTACTGGGGTTGGAGGGGCGGGAGGAGAAATTGATCTGTGCTGCCAAACTGGCTATGCTTTTTTCCTATCACCCTTGCCTTGGTTTTCTGAGCTCCGCGCTTTGCTCATTGCATCCATCAGGTGTTAATTTCCCATTCTTCTGATACCCCTTTTCTCTCATTCACGTCGGAGTAAATCAGCTAGCGGTAAATTTTGTAATATAACAAGATTCTCGGCACGTGTGGTTTAGGAAACTACGAATTTTTCATACTATCGGTATTGGAAAGGATGGGCTTGCATGGTCAATTTTTCTTGCGTCTGGGTTTCTGCTTTCGCTGTTCGTACCCGGGAACTCTGATATCAGGACTTCATGGAGTCGGCGATTTGCTGCGAGAGGGGCGGGCTTGTATGTATTTAAGGATGTGTGGGATTCCGCGAATTGGAATGCCGGGTGTGCATGGATATTCGCGAGAAGCTATACTCGAGTCTGCCGCTAGCTGCAAGAATGACAGGCAGTGTCAGCTCTTACTTTCTCTTACAGTAGTAGAGTCCAGATGTGGACCTTGTGAAGACATAAATGGAGACTGGTGAGGAAGACTGCGATATGCGATTTCCGCAACGGCGTGCGTGTATTCGTCTATAAACCTCCTCGACAAGGGGGAAAAAAACCGCCGATGAAACTCGGACATCCAGGCAGAGGGAGGACGAGAGTTCATTGTCTACGGAAACGCCATATTTTATGATCTACATTCCAGACCACAATGGTATTTTACGCAAGGCTAAACTCCATTCCATTCTCCAACTCCGCAGAAAATGGCCCAAACCCCTTCTCAGGCAAGGCAGGCCGCGGGGCGGCTTTTCAAATTTTCCATCCATCCACTCGCGCAGCAGCAGACGGCTGCAGGGGTGAATCTTTTCAAAGACTCAACCTCGATACCAGAGTCGGACGTCCTCTCGCTCAACTGTGTCGTGTGGCGTCTTCTACCTGTTGGTAGTCTCCACTTTCTCCCTCCTCCTGCCTGCTCCCCCCATCGCCTAACATAGCCATCTGCTCTTCCGCTCCCCCACCCCCACCTGCACTCCTTCCGAGCATCTCCTCGCCATACTCCCCATCAGCCCCGATATCGCCACCACCTTCAACGCTTCCCTTCCTGGCAGCAACATATACCGCACTCCCCAGAATGAGTCCACTCCCCGCGAGACTCCACCAGCCGGGGCTCTGTCCGAAGACCAGCTTGTCCAAGGCTAGGGCATACAGCATGTTGGTGTAGATCATGTTCTGCGCCCTGGCGCCGTTGCCGCGTCCTCCGGCCGCCAGGCCACGAGTGAGCAGGTACTGCATGATGAAGCCGCAGATGCCCAGGAAGATGAGCATGCTCCACTGCCGCACGCCGGTGGGGAGAGCGAAGTGCAGATCGGAGATGTGGAGCGGGCGCGAGAGCGACAGGGCCAGGGCCGAGATGATGGTGCAGTAGACCGAAAAGTAGTTGACGGAGAGCAAGGCGTGAGCCCGGCTGCCGATCCAGCGGATGGAGGTGAAGGCCCCTGCGGAGCCGAGGACACCGATCATAGCGACTCCCACAGCCGAGAGACGCTGCCCCGACGTCGGGATTGGGAAGGAGGCTGGATCCGTGGGCTCGGTGGAGACGGTCGCGTTGGAGCGGATACTGATCGTTTCGGCGGCGCCGGAGGTGGTGAAGAAGGATGTTGGGCGGGCGATGAGGACGACGCCGAGGAGGGAGATGAGCGAGGCGTATTGTGCTGATCTGGGGAAGGGCTCTTTGAGGAAGATGTGGCAGCCGTAGCTTGCTACTGAGGGAGCCAGGAAAGTGAGAACCACCGCGTCGGCCACGGGTAGGTATTGGAGAGAGCTAAGATAAAAACGTGTCAGAATTACTGCATTGTCAAATAGTAGTGCAAGCTTAAGGGGGAACTTACTAGTATATCCCGAAGATCCCAAAGAACCCCGTTACGCTTCTCACGACCAGCAAACCTCGGGTTCCTTTGTTTCCAAGAGGAAAACCGGGTACCTTTCCATACCACATCCAGGCGGTACAGAAGATGGCAGTGAGGCCCTGTCTGGCAAACAGAATCTGAAACGGATCCATGCCCTCTCCTTCCAGCTCCAGCAGTCTCGTGGCGACATTCATGAGGGCCCCAAACAGCTGGGAAAAGGTGACGAGAAACAGCCCTTTGTTCTGAGCCCAGTGATGGCAGAAGATGTCTTTCCATGTCTGTGAGCTTCCACCCGGAGTACTCATCGTATCATGAGGATACGGAGATGCACTCCGCTGTCGTCCCATTGACGAGAATGTACTGGTAGAGAGTCTCGGGAAGGCCTCTGGATCTAGCAGTGTTGCATCGGCCGTCTTGGCCGGGTTAGGCGCGAGGTAAATTCGATTTGTGTCGCCATTCAAAGCCATGTCAAGGTTGGACGGGATGTTCTGGAAAGGCTGCAAGCAGTTATCCGGCTCTTCGTAAGGGGGCTTCGTGGCGGAGGCCTGCTGGCGGAACGACATGGTTACAGTAGCTTTGGCAGTTCATTGCAATAGCCAAAGCCAAGTAAGTAAGTACCTGCCTCGCCAACGAGCAAATGGATACAAATAAATATAGAAATAATAAAGATAGTTATGAGACGGTACAGAAGATGCAGGAAATAGAAGCACGATTTATTGATACCTAGGTAGGTCCAGTCCTTACACTCAAATAAAATTAGAAGTGTGATGTGGTGGTGTAATGTGGATAAGCCTCAGGTAAAATAGGTAAGTGAAGAAGTAACATGTGAAGAGCCGGAACTTGGAGAGTGGGCCGTCTAGTCTGTCTAGAAGGAATAGGAAGGACGACGGTCCAGGTAGCTAGCCGGCCGTCGAGTCGAGAGTGGCGGCCGTCATCCTACCTATCTACAAACAATGACAACGCACCTTACCTTAAGAAGACGAAAGGGCGACGGCGACGGGTGATGGAATAGATTGGTTTGCCATTGGCGCGGAAAGGCGTTCTTTCCTGCAAGCCACTGGCCCCGTTCAGCTCGTAGATACGTATCCGTTGTATACGGTTCGTTCAACAAATGATGCATATGTCGGTCACACTACATCGAACTTGAACTTTTAGACCATCGGCCAGATTGACCGGATTGGAAATGCTCTACGAAACATCCCATGTCAGCAACTCTTCTCAGCAACCAACCCTAATATCAATCAGTACCTCCATACGAGGAAGGTGTAGGTAGATAAACCCCAAATCCGACACGAAATATTCACTGCAGACAAGTCATCAAAGCTGAAAGCACAGCATCTCATCTTCTTCAAGACATCATTCTGGAAAGAATTACTGGCCTCGGCCGGGTATTGTGCGCAGATCCATAACGCCCCTAAATTGCGGCCAAATTCCCATAAACGCCATTGGGCGTGGTACATGACTCGGGAACCAGATCTCCAAGCGGATGATATCGAAAAAAGTGGCCCAGTCATGGCCGCCGTCGTATGTAAAGAAGTAGAATATCGGCTGCGCAAATTCCCTTCGTAGCCATATAGTCGTGAAACCGCCAAATGTTCAGCGTGCAGCTCCAGTACCACTCTTTCCACCAGTATTCCGCGCGTCAAAATCCATATCATCGTCTCCGTCGCCAAGAGGTTCCTCCATTGCCTTCATATTCGATTTGGTGATTCTGTCATCCGTCACATCCACAAGCTTTTTTGCCTTATCGATCAAGTCTTTATTGTGAGCGGTTTCCTCTATCTTGCCCAGATATGAAGGATTCTTTCGACAAGCGAATTTGATGTCGTCGAGCTTTATCTTCTGGCGCCCTGACAGCGAGGCTGATCGGTGGGCCTCGAAGCAGAGCTCGGTGATGAAGTCTGTGAGAAGCTCGTCGAATACGCGCTTGGTGCTCTCGAGGGAGTCTGGGACATCGCCGTGGGCAAAGAGAAAGAGCTGGACTGAAGAAGGTGAGAACGTATTTCCTGCGTCGGGGCAGTGAAAACTTACGTTCCTGGTCCGAGAAGCTCTGCTGCCCTCTGTTCTTCCCGGCGCGCGCTCTTGGTTCCATCTCCGCGGTAGAATGAACTCCCTTACACTTGAAAATAGTCGAGAGAAAGGTCTCGGTCTTGGTGCAGGCTGCGGCTCCGGCTGTAGAGTAGACCAGCGGGTGGCAGAGGGAGGTTGTTGTTGGAAGGCACGTAGAGCAGCGGAGCTTGCGTCGTAGTGTTCAGCAGATCCGTCGCATACCTCTAATTGACTGGAGTCGGCTTTTTTATGGGCTACCTTTGCCTCCTCAAAATCTCCAATCAATTGCCGTGGGCTGGCTGTACAAGAATATTGAGCAGGGTCGGTCAGCGGGATCGGATTGAATGACTGTCCTGGCTGAGAATTGGACTCGCTGTCGCCTTGACTGTTGAGCCTCGCTCAAGATTGGGTTTGAGTTTGATGGAGGCAGCTCGGGCCACTTGGCGGGACTCGGATAATAGATAGACCGGCCGGACCCTGGAGGAATAGTGACAACGTTAGTGACTCTGTCCAGAAACTCAGTACAGTCAGATTGCGGTCTCAGAGGCATCTTGCTGTGCTTGAACAATCTTCAACATCGCAAACATGGTGAGTAAACAGAGCGGAAAACAAAAGTCATATGATCACTAGTACACACGCTAACACCTTGCCAGACTGCACTCTTCAACTTTCAGTCTGCACTCCTAGTGCTCCTCCTACTTATCTGCACATCTGCATACGTCCATCAACTTTTCCCCGCATTTATGGATAGGAAGAAGGACTCGTAGGTGCTGAAACTATTGTTAAATTTGCGCATGGCTGATTGGGGAATCAGGCCCGTTCTGGGAGGCTTCTGGAAGTGTGCGAGAATTGGGGAAAGACTAAGTCCGTACATAAGTGTATGCTGCGTGGTATTTGCTGTAAGTTAAACTCATCCACGAACAGAGGTACAGGCTTATCAAAATAGGTTCGTCTGTTTATTGGTGCGTAACGCTGGGGATGGATACTTGAGGGCGTTTGGAGCGAGGGCTGCTATACAGATATCTTCATGTATGAGAGAAAATCCTTGGCCATGGAAAACCGATTGCAAAATACAATGGGAATAATTCAACCTCAAAAGTATACCCTCAGACGCCATCGCTATGCCAAAAGCAGACCTGCCAAGTTAAGGTTCATGAAGACTCGTCCTCGTACTTTCATTTTCGCCCCATATGTCCCTACTTTCTTGCTCCACAGCCTTCATAGCATTTGCTACGTGCTCTAGCTTCGCAACTACATCCAACACTCCTTCGTTGACCCTCTGGAAATACCGATCGTTGGCCTCCCTCCTCTTCCTCGCCAGCAATATGTCTGCTTCCGTCTCTTCTTCCATGCTACTTCCCATCGAATGCGCCGTACCCATGGCAATACCACTACTGCCTGGTCTGCCACTCGCACTCGGAACCGTGCTCCCAGCGGTGTCCAAAGCACTCCGAGCCTCGCTTCCAAAAGCCAGGCCTTTCCCCCCGACTGTCTTGCTGCCCTTGTCCGTACTTTCAATGGCTTCATCGGCTTCACTCCTAGCCCATGCTTGAGCCAACTCAATCTGTGCAGCTCTCAGACTTTCCAATGCCTTGCCGTGCTCGGCACCAAACACATGCGTGCCACTGACAGCATTCAACTCCACCTCTTCCAGCGTAGTCTGCATCTCAGCCCAGAGAGCATCTGTCCTGTCCGCTTGTTTCTTAACCTCTGCATCCTGCTGCTGTCGCGGCGGAGCATTTCGTGGTAGTGATGACCCGAGAGTTGTATCTGGCGAACCGTCGAGGTTACCGCGTGCAGCGAGATGAGAACGCTGGCGGAAGAGGGGTGCTCGTGAGGGTTTTGAAGGCTGCACTGTAGTAACCCCAGGCAGAGAGACGTGAGAGGCATTTTGAGAGGGGGGTCCTAGGAATAGAGATGGTGGAGGCTCGCGCAGCTGCTTGGCCTTGGATTTGGGCGACGACGACATCGTCACATTGCAGCTCTGGTCGCGAACAAGTTGGGATTCCGTCCGAGGAACGGGATGCCGATATCGAACTCTAACATGCCCTTCTGTGGTATTCAAGACTAGACCTGACACGTGATTGCGGCTTGGCGTTGACGCCCTCGCTTAGTCGGTTGCCCACGATCCAAAATCTCAAATTCCCTAGAACGTTTGTCGACAACTCCAACGCCAAATAATCTCTCCCCATATCGCCATAAACCGGTACGTCTCCCCACCCTTTCACCTCAAATCCTCTCGCCCCTCACACACGATCAGCACCTAACATCTGCCAGCAATCATGGGTAAAGGAAAGCCTCGTGGTCTCAACGCTGCCCGCAAGCTCCACAATCACCGCCGCGAGCAAAAATGGGCCGATCTGTCTTACAAGAAGCGCGCTCTCGGAACCGCATTCAAGTCGTCGCCATTCGGAGGATCCTCGCACGCAAAGGGCATCGTTCTCGAGAAGGTCGGTGTTGAGGCCAAGCAGCCCAACTCAGCCATCCGAAAGTGTGTCAGAGTTCAATTGATCAAGAACGGAAAGAAGGTCACCGCTTTCGGTACGTTGTGACACAAATATCTCACTCACGGTCTAGAAGAACAGGGTTGCAAGGGTGGATGGGCCAGGCGTTGGGGGTGTTGAGATGGAGTGGAGTGAGCAATGGCTGATGGAAAAACACAGTTCCCAACGATGGTTGTCTCAACTTCGTCGACGAGAACGATGAAGTCCTCCTCGCAGGTTTCGGTCGTAAGGGAAAGGCGAAGGGAGATATTCCTGGTGTGCGATTCAAGGTCGTCAAGGTCTCCGGAGTCGGTCTGTCTGCGCTGTGGAAGGAGAAGAAGGAGAAGCCTCGCTCGTAGAGGAGTAGGTTTCTTATCTCGGTCTGATTTTCGCACAAACAAACAATGAAACGGGCACATTTGGGGCAATGGGGGTGTTACTCTTTTTGCAAGGTTGCGCATGGATGCTCGCATCTGTCTGAAATGAGCGGCATTTGAGGCTGATGAATAGATTCGTCAATCCCCCACCACCAACTACCAGCGCTCGAATACCATGTTTTCTCTGATATGGCGTGCCCGGAATATGTGATATCAAAATAGGGTACGTGGTGGATCTTATTCAGGTTGCTCCTTAGGGAGCTTGAATCCATACCTGTCGATCCGCTTGCGATGCCCAGCCCACGCCTTGGTGGCGGATGAAAATATCCGGCTTCTGATATTCACTGATGTAATTCTGCATTTTCCACGCCACTTGTCGTTCTCTCGCCCAACTTGGAGATGGTATAACCTAAGTCTTGGTCACGCACGATCACACCGGATTGCTTCTCTGCCAAGTAGTCCTTGGGAATCTCATTTTCATGTTACTATCCCCCTCCAGCCATCTATCTCAAATCTTCAAACATACTGTCCATATACATGTGTGTTCATCCGAATCATAACCTGTCATTTAGTTAAGCCAGGCCAGATTGGAATTTCCTACATTGAGTGTCAAGAAAAGAAGGAATCCGCCCAAAGAACTATTCTATTCTGCACCCTACAGCCTCTCCCTCCCTGTGTGTGACCTTGACCCCACCAGTATCACACATTAGTCTGCACAAGCAACTCCTTATGCTCACCAAAACCTCTACCCAAGGCCGCCTTCGGGCTCACCACACCCTTCACCATCTGGGCGTTCGCAACATCGTCCTCAGGTCTCTCATAACTACCGATCTCGACTCTAACCAGGCTCTCGTAATCTCGTACCACAGTGGCGTTCACGGCATCGACATTCCTGTAGTAGAGTTCGCTGTCCGCCGTCCCTTCGCTCAGAGAGGTACCCGTGAAGCTAAATTCCTGACTCGTCCTGCCGGAGCTCCTGCTCACGCCCGCCGCCGGGGATCCGAAGTACTGCGCAATCCCTTTCAGTCTCGTGCTCAAGAACGTTCCTGACAGCGCCGACGACACGAGGGATGCGGATTCGGGCAATCGAGCGAAGGGCTGAAGGCCGGTGGGGAAGACAGACTTGCCCTGCACGGCGAGATCGAGGCCCTGCTGGAGGTCGGCCTCGATGGTGAAGTTGCCGCTGGGCTGGACGCTGTAAGTGCTGTTGGCGTACAGCGGGTAAGTGTAAGAGGACTTGTATTGGGTACCACCGGCACCGAGCGATGCGTCGTTCCCCGTGGTCGTCTGGTTGTTCAGCTGCATGGCCCCGAAGTCGATGAGCCCCCCATAGTTGGTGACCGAGAGGGATTGTGTCCAAGTGGAGACGAAGCGTCCGCTCTGTGTGGTCACCACCGATGAAACGGACAGCGATCGCTTGACATTGACGTTGTAGGTCAAAGTCTCGTTTGCTCCAGTAGAGTTTTGCTTTACCGAATGGGAGAGCTCGATGGTCGGTTCTGGCAGGAGTACTTTAGGTGCCTCTCCGGCCGTGATGGAATTCGGGTCTTCGTCAAGCCACAAGAAAATCTTCCCGGTCACTAGCCAGCTGCTCCCGACTGTCTGTGTGAGCGTTCCGGAACTCTTTCCATCATCGACAATGCCGACGACTCGGATCTCGAAGCTATGTTCCGCTCCGTCGGAGAGTATGGGTAGCCATGGGGTGATGTCAATCTCATGCTCCCTGAGATCGAACGCATCGATGCCAACGATAGGCCGCCACAGACCCGGGTTGATACCACCGGTAAATATCACAGGGAACGGCCAGTGTACACCAGCGAGTTGCCCGTCGATAAGAACTTGGCTACAAAAATAATCAGCGCCATTTACGTTGAAGGGCCGAGCGGATCCCACGACATCGGCACTTGGACAATGGTGAAGGAGGAGAGGGCTCTGAGAGATTGAAAAAAAATCGTACGTACACTTCGCGAAATGGAGAGTAGCCATAGAGGGTTCCGACATCGGGCCCAAAAGTGTCGACAACCGATTGTAACACATTGCTCCACCAGAACTCCTCGGTCATTTGTCCACACGCGGAGACCGAGAAGACAGCTCGATTGGCATTTCGTGGGAGGCTGACAGTGGTAGTCGCGTTGTCGGCGGGCAGAGTGAACACACTCGCGGCCTTGTCAGCTCCCCTTCTTGTCGAGATGGGGATGATCAGCGACGCTGGCTCATCCGTTTCCTGGTCCATGAAAAAGGTGGCAGTGAGCGTGGTGTTGAAGGGTGCCGTGTATGTACTGTCTATCAAGTTTCCGAGATCGAAGATGAGGGTCTGGGGCGAGTTCCAGAAGTACAGGTAGTGCGACATGTCTTTGATATACTCCCACCGGATGCCAGTGGCGCTCGGTTCGGCAGTGGAGGTTCTCCAAACCTCGGTATCCCCAAAGTACATGAGCGCGATTCTGTCGAATTGGCGGCCTCTGGAGGTGACGGTGAAGTTCATGGTCACCCGGTTGAACTTGCACTCAGGGGGTGTGTAGTTGCCTGTTACAGTAAATTAGCGCTAGCCAAGAAACACCCAAGCGAGGCTTCACTTACCGACGAACGGTAGGCCGTAAGAGAAGGCAAACGAATGCTCCATTAGAAGGGCCTGGCAGCTGCCGGTGACTTCGATCGGGGCAATGGCGGTTGTGTTTGATGATCCATTTTCCGCAATTGTTTCGTCCGTGACTCCGCGTGGGGTGAGTACGGGTTGATAGACCTGGAAGACTTCAAGAAGTCCAGAGGGCGATGCCGCTTGGGCAGGTGCTGGCTCTGCATCTTTGACCAGGACAGCCTTTAAGGGCTGTGCAGCTTTGGCCAGGACAGCCTTTAAGGGCTCTGCAGCTTTGGCCAGGTCAGCCTTTAAGGGCTTTGCATCTTTGACCGGGACAGCCTTTAAGGGCTCTGCACCTTTGACCGGGACAGCCTTTAAGGGCTCTGCGCCTTTGACCAGGACAGCCGTTGAGGGTAAATTTTCGGTAGATCGCCCGTCGATAGCCGGCAAACAAGCAGTGAGCAGCCAGAACAGGAGGGTGCAAGATGCCAAAACTGCAAACAAAAAAGTTTTGAGAGAATGGACAGGATAAAGTATTCCCGGGGAAGTGGCGTACAGGTCTCCCTTTTCCGAGGTGGAGGGGGTAGAGGGTTCGTTGGCCACGGATTTTTCAGATGGGCTTTCAGTGGCGACACGAGAGAAGCCAGTGTTTTTGATACTCGGAGACATCGCGAGGTTTTCCTGCTGCCGTGGAGAACTCCCAAAATATGAGGCGCGAAAGGGCGGAACGATGGGTCTGGCTTTGAGTCTTGTTGTTGTGTGCAGAAGCCTATGCCCCGTTAGACAGTTGTTGTAGGTGATCCCAGTATCTTCTTTTCGCGGCAATAGCAAGTTGGTCTCCAATGAAGAGGTCTTGGAAGTAGTTGAAGACAGCAAATTCGTCCCTGGTCATCACATAGGATGCGGGTTGGGCTTCAATCTTCCTCCAGATTTCCGTCAGCGCCGTCCCGAGAACGGTTACGACAGTTGGGTCTTGGGCTCCCTCGGGCGAGTCTCTGGCAAACTCCAGAGCTTGTGCGACAATCGATGCGGAAGCTGACTGCGGCTTCGCATCCCCATTATCAATACCTCCGTCGTTGCTCATTGATAAGAAGGATATAGCCTGGGCACCAGGGGTGCTGATTGGGTTGATGGTATGGGCGGGAAGTTTGAAAGGGAATGAAGGAAGAAGGCCGGCGTTATTTCTGAAAAGCATTGTGGAGGGAGGGACGCTTTTGAAATGGACAAATGGATATGCTGGGGCGAATGGTGGTGCAAGTATAATATATAAGACAGGCAGGCAGGGCAGATGTGGCAGGTGGAAGAGGGGGTTTGGTTGGAGTTGGAAAGGCGTGCGTTGTGGTTGTACGAGGTACTACCCGTCTAGTCAAACAGGCTATGTGTATATGTATGTACCGTAGGTATATGTATATATATCTCTTGTGTGACCCAGCCTTCCAAGATGGCTGCAGAAGATGTGACTGTGACTGGACGGCCAAGGGCCACTGGTACTGGGGATGCAACGCCTCTTTATTTATTTCTTTTTGCAAAAGGAGGAAGCCATCGATAAGGAACACTTACTCACCCAGCTCACTCAGCTCACCGAGCACACACACACCCAGTTCTTTTCGATCGAATTGGGCAACAACAGGTCTTGAGCAGATACCGACTACGCCTCTTAGGGACGGGAAGACGGACGGCAAGACAAGAAACAACCCTGAAGCCCTAGACCGGGTATGAGACAATCGATGCAGGCAGGCAGATAGATAGATAGATGGATGGATACTGTCGACGGATGGATATATAGATGGGTCTCTATCTCAGTGCTCGGGGGATTCAGGCGACAGATTTCACGGCACGGTGAGCTGATATTACATCTTGGCGGACTGCTTTACACTTTAACAACTTGTGCAATAAATTTCTAATAAGGTTGACAAGGGGGTAGGACTGACCGACTTATTATTAACAAACTTTGACCTGGACTTGGACTACCGGTAGGACTTTGTGTTGACTTGGGCTGAACTCGCTTAACACTGCTGACATGAGTAATGTGAGCAAGGCAAAAGGCTATAGCTGACTTGCCGTCCCATCCCAGAGTACAAGGACAGGGCCGACTGACTTGCTTGCCTTATATTACCTACTATATTACTATTGTACAACTACTACGTACAACTACAACTACTACTACAACTACACCAACACCCCCTAATCTCCAGTCCCGGCTGAGCTCCGACTGGTAGACAAGCTCTGCTGGGCTATCTACTACGTATATATTGATATCCCAGCCTCACCCCAGCTCACCTCAGCTCACCTTAGCTCACCTCTCCTCACTTCACCTCGGCAGCTTTCTACAGTATAGGAGTTAATTACAGTATACAACCATACCGTAGGACGACCGACGCACGGGCAGCCATTGCAATCAATGTCCGTCGCGTCATGCATATTTCATGCATCAATAATATCAACAATATATTATTGACTGACTGATACCAGACTTTGATCAGATGGCGGCTCAAAATCTATCAGTGGGGTGTGGCTGGCACCAGCTCGGAAAACCCCCCTTTTCACATTCTGTTCACCACTACGGATAGACTCTTCAATAGGTAATGCGCCCAAATTCCGCGATGCCCCCCTTTCCCCTTCCCCCTTCCCCCTTCCCCCCCCTCCTCGCAGGGTCTGGGAGCCAGGTTTCATCACATCATCCGCCTCGTACGCCACTTTCTCCATATATTATCATCGCAGCATTCTGCACCCCTCAAATCCACTATTTTCGTCACTCAAACGGCTAGAAGCTTGTCGAAAAACCGTCGTCGAGGCCCTCCCTTGTTGGTGGTGTTTCCGACTTCTTTTCGCCTCTGGAAAATGCTTCCAGTGCTTACACATCTCGCTTTTGTTGGCAACGCTCTCTCCTTTTAAACTCTCGGTCGATCCTGCTAATCACATCATCCCTGAGGGCTACGATAAGCCATGGCTATTCCTAGAACCGATCGATGTATATCCGGCCCTAAGCGGACCATCTGTTTGGGGACGAGCCGAAAACGACGAATGTTGCAGAGCCCGTTGTACCTTTCTTAACCTCACATATTCCGACAGTCCAAAGGGCATGTCAGACCACCGGGACGGTGAGTTGGCGAGCTTTAACTTCCGAATCCTGTAAGGGTTACTGTAACATGTTTTTTTTTCCTGTAACCAGGTGTTACTGTATCGGGTCTAAATGTGAACCCACTATATTTTGCTTTCTCGCCGACCCATCATCATCGGCAGGCGATGGACAAGAAGCCGGAATATCCACTTTCTACTGTACAGTACCAGTATAGCGTCGAAAGAAAACATGCCTGAACTCAATTCAAATACGGATTTTTAAAGTTTGCTACTGTACGTAAGTACTGACAGAGCATCGCATAGCGGATCCCTGTATACCGAAGTTCTCGCAGCTTACAATGCTGATCTCATTTGCCATGGAGAAAATCGTGAAAAGACTGGAAGTATGATGCCATTCCAATGATCGTCATACCGAAGTATCTTGGAATTCAGTACCGATTTGACCCCCGTTGCATGTCGACTTCCACACCCGACAGGGGATTCGGCGCAGGCAGCCGAAGCGCGAGCCCGACTCACTGGGTTGAGATTCAGGAGCTCCACTGCAGCTGCCATTCGCATGACTCGAGCTCTCTTTGCTCGCTCGCGCAGCGCAGGTAAAGGTTGCTCGTCGGTCAACGTTCCCAATGCATACATACGGAGTACGTAGTACGTACTACCTAGCAAATGTCATGGAGAGCGAAAAAGCAATATCGAGGACGAGGAGGAGGCAAATGTCTAATTGGTGGCGAGTCATGAGCTTGGTTTCTACACATGGCCGGCCACCAGGAGAAGTTTACACCCATCCTATTCTTGCCGAGTCGACCTTGCTACCGTATGTAACCGGCCAGCCGATCCAGCGCTTACTCTGTACGCCTTCTCTGTTGCCGTCAGGCGACATCAACAATCTCAACTTCTCGGGGTGTCGGTAAACACGGCAAAAAACCTTGCTTGTCCACATCGCTGAACATGATGCAATCCCGAGATCGTCACTCTTACTCACTGTGGGAGAAGCTTAGGATTTCGTCATTGTTCTTGACACGATCAAATTCTAGGTTCTCGATAAGCTGGATGTTTCGCCCTCTAGCCCTCTAAGTGAAGATTCCACATCAGCACTCCAGCCAGCCTGCAAAGAAGCAAAGAAGCAATCGCCCTCCAACGTGCTGTGGTGTGTACACCAAGGACCAGGGAAAGCGATTTCAGATGAAGCGCTAATCCCGAAATAGAAATTTTAAACAGCGAGGAGAACTCTATTGAAACTCTGAAACTTACTTCCGTACACGTATTCCCGATGGCGTCAATCTCAATTTTCAGCCTACGGTAGTACACCACCCATCCCGCAACAAATCTCATCCGTGTACGGGGTTGGACTTCTGGTAACAGGTAAGTGATCTCTCAAGCTTGCCGTCCCTTGACATCTCGATTTCGCGAGCCCGATGAAGTCTTCTATCATATTATAGGTATATACCATTGATGTCAAACCAGTTCGTTCAGAGACCAGCACTCATCGCGCGCCGGTCGCCTGACTGCGTCGTTCAACCAGGTGAGCCGAGTGAGTGAGGGCTGGAAGCTCCGCTCAGCCAGACGCGTCGGACCATTTCTTCTGATTTTCACGCAATGCTCTTGGCAGTATAATTTCGTTGTTGACTGACCCCAAGCGAGCGGCGAGCCGAGCCTTACCGAGGGGGAGAAAAAAAAAAGAAGAAAAACAAACGACGAGTCCGGGATACCTCTGCCTAGACAACCCTTCATACTGTCGATCAGCAAGGCACTGGAGCTCCTGCCATGGCGAATTCATCGCGATCACTACTGTACTGTACTGTACTGTACTGTAGTGATTCCGGATATTCGTGGGTTGTCCTGCCAGGCCCGCCTACCGGTAGTGATGTCCCAACTCCTGAGACTGGGGATCCGCCTCCTGTGCAGTTTTTTTTTCTTTTTTCTTTTTTTCTTTTCTCTCCTTCTTCCTCTTTTTCTCTTCTTGAAAAAAAAAAAAAAGCGCAACCCTGCATTCAGCAGCCACGAACGGCCTTCCTTGGTGTTTCTGAGGCTCGGTTCCCCATCCGTGTTTACATCACTACCTCTCGCAGGAAAGGACGGCTCCAACCACGAGACGGCGCGGACGCGCGAGGTAGTTGCGAGCCACCTGTCTGGTGTCTGGACGCGGGAGAGGTCGGAGCGAGCCTCCAGCGATTTTTACTTTTACTTGTCCCCCTCTCGACTGTCTCTCTTTATTTGCGTTCATACATATCATGTTACAGATATATATATATATATATATATATATATATATACACCGACTAGCCTTCGCTTGTTCAAGACTCACACCCTTCGGTGCGTGGTGGTCTGCTGTCAGCGGTGGCCGGACTGAGTGAGGTCATTAATACCTAGCTGCCTCTGGAGTCACACGTGGTACTCGAAAGGAAGCTGGGACGCTGTTTGGCGCTGTTACCTACTTCTTTGCTGATAATGCTATGGATATAGGACCCTGTGTATATATATAGTCTTGTGACACTTGCAGTGTGGATGGAATATTGCCTGCTGCTTTTTCCTGCGTGGTCTCGGGTCTAAATTTATTTTTATTTTTATTTTCAATATATATATACTTCGGCTCCGCAAGCTTGAATAAAGGGCGAGGTTGACAAAGGGAGGGAGGAATGGCGGGATTCCAGCTACGGGATCGTATGCGTGCAGACGCAGTTCCAAAGGAGATGAAAGCCATCTGCCAGCCTGAGCCGCTATCGGTCGGTCTATCCTCTCGAGAAGAGAAGAGAAACAGAAGTAAATAGCAAAAGGGGAATAACAAAAATGAAAAAAAAAAAAGAGAGAAAATGAAACCAGGTGTGGTGGACTCGCTGCCAACCCATGTTACCAACCCAGCCAGACCCTCACCCAGAACCAGCAGCAAGCGAGCAAGCAAGCAACTCCTTGCCCTCGAAGCCACAAGTAGACAGACGGATGAGCAAAATCCTCCTCCTCCTCCTCCTCCTCCTCGTTCCATTCCACTCTTCCCCATCGCGGAAAAAAAGCGGGGGGGGCGCCCGCTCCATCCACGCACCCTGTTCGTTGCTACAACGTTCGCGCCCAGGCTCCTCTCCTCCTCTCCTCCTCTCCTCCTTCCCGCTCTGATGGATGGATACCGGTAGACGAACGATCGAGATTCCCCCCGTCGCAGTCCAGCACACGTAACGGCCGGGCAGATCTCGCCTTTGACCAGCTCGCAGCGAGCCGGACGTGGTAGGTAGCTCCCGGCGGGCTGCGTCGGGGGCGCGAGGGTGTAATGGTCGTCGTCGTCGTCGTTGCGAGTTGCGGGTTGCTTGAATGAGTGAGTGAGAGTGAACTGGTCTGACAAGCTGGGGATCTGCCCCCGTGACCTGTTGAAGCACTCGGCGTGTTTTTTTTTTTTTGAAACTTTTGGTTAATTTTTTTTTTTTTTTTTGATTTTTTTGATTTTTTTGATTTTTTGATTTTTTGATT